AGCTGAGACCTGACCAGTGCTTCTCTCTGCATCCAGGAACAGCTTCCTAGCAGCCACGGTAAAGAGTTAACTTTTTCCTGACTGAATCCAGCACACTAATACAGCTTCAACTTTGACAGTCAACAAGATTTTGGTGCCTTCAAGTAAATACCACACCTCACTCACAGACGTGTAATCATTTCAACTGGATGCAGCTTTATGAAACAATCGGAAAATAATTCTGTGTGGATGCATGTGGAGAGATGATCAAGCTTCCCGCTCTGAGAACAATATAAAACTCTATGTATCTTCACCCATTAATTCTGCGTGGTTAGCCCTGATGCCAGCATAAGACTGTCATACCCTTTCAAAAAGATAAGAAAGCACCTCATAAATCTGCATGGCCTACCCCTGAAATCACACAGAACATTCAGGATTCTACCTTCAACCCTTAACAGGTCAATCACGTCATTTAAGGAGAACTACGCAGGTTCATAAAATGCCAGATGCAGGTCTTTGCTTAGTGAAACCCACAATCCAAACAGAAAACTTCAAATCCATAGGTACTCGTCACAAAACACCTGCGTAACAGTTGCTATTCCCTGAATTAATTTTGGCTGCTCTGCCATTTCTAGGTACAACACCCACATGATAAAAGCTCCAGAAGTAGGAATACCAGTACCCACCATCAGCTCTGCATCCAGCAGGTCGTGGAGCTCCAGTTGCTGATACACCTTCAGGCGGTACGCTTCCATTTGCTGTTTCTTCTTCTTAGCCAGATCATAATCCTCTTTCTGTACAGCATAGCGCTTCTCCACCTCATACCGTCCGAGTTGTTCCCCTACCTAGAAGGTAGTATAATGAGTTAGCTTGGAATCATACTGCTGTACAGCTGTGCACGCTTCAGTATTTCCAGCCAAGTTAGTAAATCAAGCTATCAGATTTTGAAATGACTACTTTGAAAGTATACTGGAAATCATCACGATGCCACATGAATGCCAGGATCCCTGAGGGACCAGCGGAACACCATGCAGCTTAAGAGATCAACAGTCTTTCAGCCATACCTTCTGCAAGTCCGCGATAGCCTGTTTGAGTTTCTTGGCATAATCGTAGCGCTCGTGAAGGACAGCTTCACGTTTCTTCTCATCCAGCCTACGTATTATCTGAGCAACTTCTGGATCCTGGTACATGTCAAAAGCCAAATCATCCAGAGGTGAAATGCAGTCAGGTTTCCTGAAGATATAAAACGAACACAATAAACTTTCAGTTAATCCAAACCAGACTGAGCACGTCATCTCCTTTCACTAGCAGGGAGCTAACAAAACAGATCGAGAACCGCTTTAGACTCGTTTTCACAGAATCACACAGGTTGGAAAAGACCTATAAGATCATCCAGTCCAACCATCAACCCAACACTCCCGTACCCGTTAGACCATGTCCTCGAGCGCCACATCTACACGCTCCTTGAACACCTCCAGGGACAGCGACTCCACCACTCCCCTGGGCAGCGTATATGTATATTTTGCCAGGGTATATGCAAAAGAACATCCTTACCCAAGGTAAGTTCCATTCAAGGCAGGATCACCCGATTTAATTCCCAAGTAGTGGTCTATCAGCTTCTCCCTGGAAGGCTTTGTAGTGGGGGGAAAAAGAAACATCTTAAGACACATTCATCAAGTGTGTGATAAGAACAGAAACTCTGACTTGCCACAATCAACGTAAGCTATGCAACTGTTATTACTTAGCTTTTGGGGCATATTGAAACAAGAGAATTTAGAAAATTGATTCCAATTCCTATCGATTATGGTTTATTTTTTGTATCTGCAAACAAGGCTCAATTTTTGAGAATTTCCTTGCTTCAAGATAACATTTAAAAAAAAAAAAATCAGTTCACGGCAGCTCTGCTACAGCACAGAACGAGCAGAAGAAAGACACATTCTGTTACCACAAGACCGCTGTAACTGAACAAGCGTAGCAACAGTACACAGAGAGGGGCGCTTCGCACTTACAGAATTACTGCTGTCACTACGGTAGTCTGCTGGGTCTCCAATAATGTTTATAGCTACTAGGGCAACCTGGGAGAGATGGAAAGAGAATGTCGGTGCGTAAGGTCATTTTTTTTTTTCCCATGTCTTATGAAAACCGAAGCAAAAAAATCTGAAAAAGACATTGTATCAAAACAATCCCACCTGAGATCTGCGGGGTGGTATGGAAGCAAAGCACTAAGTGCTAAAGGTGCTTCCATAAAATTGTATTACCAGATCTCCAGACCACGTTGTACAGTCATCATTTGGTCTGGGATGGAAGTGACAAGAGTCACGGCACAATTGAGGCAGGTACTTGCTTTTTCTGGAGCAAGAAGACTGTATCGCACCTCCACTTAACATCACATCAGACCCTAAAGACTATGAGTGACTTTATTCTGATTGGAAAGCTGTTCTCAGAGGAATTATTTCAGCACAGAGCCTGCTGTGTGGTCTTAAACTCAGAAGGAAAGGCAGTAACAGAATGTGCGCTTGACTTGTTTGTCCTGGATAAACTGCACGTACTTGGTCATGATTCCAAGTCACTTAAAACCTCTTATTTGTATTTTCTTTTTTAAAAGAAACCCAAAAATAAGCCCAGGAGCTTTTAACCAACATTTCTAGCTTCTAAAAATCAAGGCAGCAGATTTCTATACCTGTTCTGTACCACTGAAATGTCATCTGGCTTACCAAGTAAGGACTCCTAACTTACCTGACCGTATAAGTTGTATTTATTGACATAATTTTTATGGAAAATCAGCTTCAGGTACTGGCCAACTGCATCCATATACACAGATTTTAACTCTCGTGCTTTGAAATCCGTCTTTTCGTTGTCTGAGAGAGGGACATAACTGGGAAGGAAAAAACGTAATAAGTAAGCAGGGGAAATGAATGAACACACGGCTGAATGTTTGCTCCTTGGGTTAGTACTTTGATAAGGTTTAAAACTCCCTCACAACTGAAGCAATGCATGCTGTCATCCAACCAGAGCATTCCCCTGCATCCCTGCCTCGTACACCCACATCTTCAGCTTTTTTAGAGATCTGAGCAAGTGCAGACCCCCCTCACTGCTTGCGGCACAGCGGCACAGCGTATCAGCATCAAAAGCGAAGCATAATGAACATTAGTTCTGCCTGAGGCCTTTCTCAGTAAGGTAATAAAACCATGTAGAGCCTTTTGTCTTACCCTAGTCTGTGAAACCTCTCTGACTGATAAGGAGCAAAGTATTCAGGCAAGCTTTCACTGATGTAGAACTCAATCTTGCTGGAAATCATGTACTGGTGAGCAAGCAACTGCAGTTTTCGTATTCGACATCTCTCCACCAACTGCAGAACAATTTCCTGTGGATACTGACAGAGTCTGAAAACACACACAAATCCTGAATCATCTTTTTACAGACGACTTCACTTCCAACTTGAGTAACATTTAATTATCAAACTTGCCAAAGTTATTATAGGTTAACTCAGTATTACAAATACTGTAAAAAGCAACCATAGAGTAGAAACACTCTCCTATGAAGAAAGGCTGTGAGAATTGGGCTTGTTCAGCCTGGAGAAGAGAAGGCTCCAGGGAGACCTTATTGCAGCCTTCCAGTACCTGAAAGGGGTTACAAGGAAGCTGGGGGGGACTTTTTTCCAAGGGCAGGGAGTGACAGGACAAGGAGGAATGGGTTTGAACTGAAAGAGGGAGATTGAAATGGGACATCAGGAAGAAATTCTTCCCCCAGAGGGTGGTGAGCACTGGGACAGGTTGCCCAGAGAAGCTGTGGATGCCCCATCCCTGGAAGTGTCCAAGGCCAGGCTGGATGAGGCTTGGAGCAACCTGGGCTAGTGGAAGGTGTCCCTGCCCATGGCAGGGGGTGGGACTGGGTGGGCTTTAAGGTCCCTTCCAAGCAAAACTGCCCTATGATTCTATGAGTCTATTGTATGTATATGTATGTTGAAGTGCCCCATACGTATCTAGAGGATATGCGGACAAGACTGGATTTTTAATACTCAGCCAAATCAGCTGCAAACTCCAAGACTAACAAGAACAAAAATACTTCTTTTTTTTTTGTTGTTTCAAAGGACTTCATTTAAACTTAACACAATGCCTTTAGCTGGTCACCACAGCGCCTTTTTTCCCCAGGATAAGGAAATTTTTTGGTTTCATGATCAGTTTGGTCTGGAATGCTGTAAACTACTCAGAACATGCATGGTACATGCCCCACTCATGTTAACCTCAGCGCTGCAGAACCGTGCATGCTCCTCCCCAAGTTGCAGTACCTGGGTGATCGCCATCCGTTCACCGTTGGTGCATGAACCATCAGCTCTTTTGCGCTGAAACCATCTTCGTGTCCTGATGAACTAACAACTATAAAACCGATCTTGTGCGGCATCCTGCAGAAGTGATCTTAGACAAAGCAACGACGTTTCAAGCTTAAGCTAATCCCTGGAAGGACAATAAAAGAACACTGAAACACTAGAGTCAAAGAATTAAATCCCATGGTCCTGCAAGTCAGTGCTGATGACTATAAATTAATTTAATTGATATTAGCACTATATTTTTATGGTGAGTGTTTTACTAGCACTTAGAGAAGTGAGGATTTGGCAAACACGTATATAAATTTGCCAATAAACCCAATTAACTTTGCTAATTCGAGATGGAACTTGAAGATATTTGCATTCCAAAACGTGCACAGGATCCTCTGGGCACTTGAGCCAAAGGGAAAAACCCAAACAATGAAGCAGAACAGGGTCAATCTAGCCCAAAGCTAGCCAGTGCCGTTTCCCAGCTACGCAGACCCCCAGGCCACTAGAAAGGACACAACGACAGGCAGGACAAGGGCCAAAGACCACCGCTACCCCCACCACCCAGCTGCAGCAGTGATTTCATGGCATTAATTTCGGTCCCCTCCCTCCTCCCTCTCGGCCCCTTCCCTCACTCCCCTCCGGCCGCTTCACCACGGGAGAAGGCGGCGTCCCGCAGGCCCCGGAAGGGTGACGGCGCCAGCCCGGGGCAACGGCTGGGTCGCGGGCAAAGCTGCCCAACGTGGCAACCTAGCGGAGACCTCGGAGGAAGCTGGCCCAG